TCATGTTCAGTCAGGTGCAGATTCAGATGATGAGGAGAAGTCCTTCTCAGCCTGTCAGAATGACTGCACAGGGAGCTCCTACCATGCATCAGACTGCCTGCGTCACAATTCACATAACCGTTTCCATAAATGCAGGTGCAAATGCTGAAATTTATATGTCAGTGCAAAGGACTCTGAATAGCAAAAAAAAAAACAAAACAAACAAACAAAAAAAAACGACAAACAAACAAAATAATTGAAAATAACAGAGTAAGATCCGCACTTCTTGATTTCAAAGCAGTACAAATGAAAGCAACATGCTATTACCTTAAAATATAAATATAAACAATGAAATGGAATAGTGAGTCCAGAAATAAATCCATACACCTATAATTGATTGATTTTTAACAAGTGTAGCATATCCATTTAATGAGAAAAGTATCACCACAATGGTGCTTGAACAACAGGAAGTTTACACATGAAAGAATGAAGGCAAGTATTGCATATTAAAAATTAAGCATGAAAGTAGACTTTAGATACTCTTAAAGCACACAACAACAACAAGAAAGGTGAAGTGTTAGTACTTCCCCCGTCACTGGAAACTAAATACTCACACACTGAGGACAAGATGCTTGTTCGGGCTCACAATTTTACTCTGGAGTCTGCTAGCTCTGAGGCAGGGACGAAGGTGACGGCAGGGCAGAGCTACTTGTGTCACGGTAACCAGGGAGCAGAGAGAAAAGAGAGGAGCTGGGAAGAGAGATGCATCCTTCCAGGTCCCCTCAGTGATTCACCTCTTTTGACTGAACACACTGCTCATAGCAAGTCAGCTGTAGTGTCCTCATAATCCAATCACATGCAGCTTTGGGGACCATTTTAAATCCAGATCATAACAGGTCACTCTGCCAGATGATGGACATGTTAATTTTTTGACTGTTGTAACCATTTCACTATGTACATATGTACATAAAAATGCTGTTGTATGTCTAAATATAATTAATAATACAATGAAGTCACATTCCTACCTCATAGCATTCACAAAATCAACTCAAAATAAATCATAAACTCAATTTTAAAGCCCCCAACATAAATCTCTCAGAAAATATGAGTGAGTCTTCTAAAGCTTAGGCTTGGCAACGATGTTGAATACATGGCACACAAAAAAATGCAAGGTGCAAAAGGAAAATAGTAGACAAATTTACCTTCAAAATTACCCTCATGTCCATCAGAGTATGTGACCAAAAAAGTGAAAGGGTGAGGTTAGGACACAGCTCAGTGGTTAAATACTGGTCTATCATGTATGAGGCGTGGTTCAGTCCCCAGCACCACTACTAAAAGGCCAATAACAAAAGTGAAAAGGAAATCTAAGGAACCTGTGGCGTGGTAACAAAACTTTGTGAATATTTACTTGATTGGTGCAAATGAAAGCAGAGGAATTCTGGCAGTCACCAGGAAACAAAAACAAACATGGGACCAATTGTCTCTGAAAGCTGCTGGGGGATAACTTGGTTTCTTCCCCATGAACTGGTTTTGGCCATCTGGCTTCCAGAACTGTGAGAAAATTAAATGCTTCTCATTTTAAATCTCACATACTTGTGTTTGTTACAAAACCCATAGGAAAATAGTCCAAAAATCTTTATCATGTTAAACCATTGGTTAGCATGTTTGCTCTTCATGTTCAATTTTTTATATGCAGATTTTGTGTTTTTGGTTTAATTCTCCTAAACATTCATTCACTCCTTGATTACAGTCTTGTACTGAGCCCCAATCCTCTTGGCATAAATCATTGTTAGGGCACAGATATGTATATTTCCAGAGCTTTTATTCTCCTGGGGGAGGAATAGCACGCATAGAACTTTTATTTTTGTGGAAGAAACAAATGTAAAAAAAACCCACCCATAAATAGACATTCTATATTTCGGTCTATATTAAAAAACAAAAGAAATTTTAAAAATTGTTAGCCCACTCAATATTGAGGATGTCAGAGTACATTAGTTTCCTCCCTTATTAACTCACTATTTCATTAGACACTGTTAATTCCTCATGTAATCAATGTTAGACTAGATTCTGACAGCACAGACCTGAGAAGACATGTTTGCTTTGATAGCACTAAGTAGTCAGTAAAAGCTAAATCTGTAAAAGCAAGTCAATGTTATTAATAAATGTTCCAACAGTTCCGTGAGGGAAGTTTGACAAATTAGATGACGAAAGAAATAAGGATAGGCGAAGGAATGGAAGGGGAGGTTGGGAAGACATTTTGAGCAGCTGTTCTGTTTGGGGAGCGCGCTATGTCGCAGGTCATTTTGTCCCCACTTACATAATTTTGTGAGGTGGGCAGTGTTTTCCTGAGTAGAATCTAAGGATGTTAGTTAAGTTGCCCTATGTCACAAAGATTGGTTTTATTGAAATGAAAATTGAGGTTTCTTCCATGTCCAAAAGTTGTACTAATTGCATATGTAGTCGCCATTTTAATTACAACTTGGAGACTGGGTGAGGATTCACAAATAAATAATTGTGAAATTGAATTGCGATGGAGAGATATGACAGAGTTTTAATTATATCTATTTTCCACCTGCTACCACCAACACCTGGGTTTTCTTTTGGTTTGTCTCCATGTTAATGAGAATAAACAGTACTGTCTGCCATACAAACTCTGACATAGCGGTAGACCGACTGTAGAGGATTTCTTGCTCACACATTGTTCAATGATTTGTCCTGTGGGAACTTGTGCATGGGCTCAGTGACCCAGGCTCTTTCCACTTAGTGGATTCATTGTCCCCTGGGGTCTGAATTCATTCCATGAGTTGGAGTTGGAAGAGGCATACATGACTTCCAATTGCATTCATGGACAAGAGCCTGGCCACAGTGGACAACAGGAAAGCTGAGAAATAGAACCTAGCTAGGTGTCCGTGGGTAGAAAGGAAATAGTTTGGAAAACAGCTACTGAGTCTTTTCTGTCTTGTGATCATTAAATACCCATTTTGCACTTCTTTCCAAACAGAAAACATATTATCTGCCTCCCTCAGGAGACAACCTAAATCCCAACTCATTACTATGGAATGGAAGGGTGATGAGCAGCTCCTGAAGAGTTTAGATGGCTCTCTCTGTGCAAGCTGGATGGAGCTCCTGTGGTGCAGCATCTTGTGAACCAAACATAAAACTTAGCTCATTCTACATTCACAGCTAGTATCAAATATGGACCAGAATAAAGATAAGCTACAAAAAAGACTCCCATTTATAAATAATATCACAATAATTAAAGACACACTGGCCAATTTGGAAGTCTTCCTGAATTGACATTACAAAGGACCCTCAACTCTAGTGATGAGAAATAGTTCTTTATAACACCCTGGTCTTTCTCTGGGGAATCTTTATTTTTCACCATTTTCCTTAAATTCCAGTCCAAATTCTTAGTAGTTTTTCATATCCATTATTATCCATTACCACTTCTGAAGTGTAGTAATGAAAAATCCATGTCCAATGCAAAGTGATAAAGGGAAGTTTATTTAAAAACTTGCAAGAAGAGAAGTCATTTTCATCATGGTCAATTCAGCAAGAGTTCAAGGGCATTAGAAAGTAAATTTATTCAGTTAAAGGAGTAAAAACTGAGTCAGTGTAAAAGACTGCAACTGTTTAATTAAATTTTAATTTTTGGAAATGGAGAGACATTGTGATTAGTCTTCAGGTATACTTGTCATTCCTTAGCTTTAGCGGGGAAGCAAACAGCCTGGAGAATTTCAAAGGAAGAATTGTGCAATGTTAGGAGTCAACAGTTTTTCAGAATGCTAATTTCCTGGAAAAACTAGAGTCATTACTGAGTGGATGTTTTGAAATCTACAGAATTTCACAGCTTACTCCCACATATGTAATTTGGAATTATTTTAGTTTTATATGAATGTTAATTAAGAAGATCTTAAAATCAAAGCTCTCAGTATTACTTTCCGTGAAATAAGCAGATAACACCATGCCTTAGAAGTTTCTATTCAAGTTGAGGGACATAAATCATCAGATGAAAAAATAAATGCTAGAGTTGAATATTGGTATGTTTCTGAAGAAGGAAGCAACAAGAAGAAAGGACATTCATGCAAAGGGAATGGCTACTCTAGAACGTAACTAAAGGAAGGTCATACAGAGTGCACAGAATGAAAGCAATGACCTCAAAATAGCCCACCTACAGAAAGGAGCAAACCCAGAGCTCTGTGATAGAAGTGTGGCAGGAGTTCTCTGGGAATAGTGAGAAACCACTGGGAAGGTAGTGGGCTGAATAGGTGGGAGAGAAACAGGACATAATATACAAAAAGTAGCAAACATGTCAAAGCACTTACTGCTTAAGAAATAGAGAATAACATTATTGCTAATATCACAGCATTTTCCTTTATTTACTTATTCTTTTTTATTTGTATATTGGTATATTAATTACCTTTATCTTGCAGAATAGAATTAAAGATGCAGAAAGAACCCTAGGCACTTTCAACCATCTAACTTTTGACAAGGAAACTAAAAAACATGCTGGAGAAAACATAGCCTCACTTCATTTTTAAACAAAATGCAAGGAGTTGATAGTCATTAAAGTTAGAGTAAATAATAACCATGTTTTCACCATATTTATTCTAATGCAACTATTTATCATTTGGAAGTAGTAACATGAGGATTCTTTCTCTTACCAAATCACTCCATAATGGCTGAAATATTAATTTATTGCATTGTTGCAATTAATTATTTATAATTGGATAAAATGTCAACAAAACTCTCATATACAAACTTATTTTGAAGTTATCATATGGTTTTCTTTATTTTGCATGACAGGAACCATTACTCAACTAAAAATACTTAGTAATATTAGATATAATTTTGTTTTAATTCTCCACATGACCATAAACATTTGACTTATTGGATTGAGTAGATCTTAGCAGGACTAGATAACTCATTGCGGATTCTACGTAATTAAATGACTAAAACTAGAGAGTATTTTGCCTTTTCAGCAACTTTCTTGAATGCACTCTTTCAAGTTTCCTTGTTCCTCAGACCATGGTGTTCAGCGTGGGGATGACCATGGTGTAGAACACGGACGCCATTTTGTCTGTGTCCATGGAGTGATTGGAGTTGGGCTCTAAGTACGTGAAGATGACAGTCCCATAAAATATGGAAATGGCAACGAGGTGGGAAACACAGGTGAATAAAGCCTTCTGGGGCCCTTCACCCGAGCACACCTTCATAACAGTGGTAAGTACGAACAGATAACAAATTAAAATAATAATTGCAAGAAAGATATTAAAGCTTGAAATGAAAAATACAATCAGCTCGTTAAAGGATTTTTTTTTTTTTTTTTTTTGTTTAAAGGGTTTATCAGAACAAGCCAGAGTCATGACTGCTGGAACATCACTGAAGAAGTGGTGGACCACACTGGTCACACAGAAAGGGAGGCAGAAGGTGTCTCCAGCTTCAACAGCAGCAGTCATAAAACCAGAGCTGTAAGAGCCCATGGCCAGACGAACACATACAGGTCTCCTCATGATCGCAGAGTGATGCAGGGGCTTACACACTGCTACAAAGCGATCATAGGCCATGGAGGTCAGGAGATAACTCTCCAAGTGGCAAAGAGGATGAAGAAGAACATCTGAGCAGCACACGCATTGTAAAGGATAAGTTTGTCGTCTGTAACCAAACCAGCCAGAACATTTGGGGTGATTGCTAAGGAGTAACAGAAGTCCACCAGGGACAGGTTGCTGAGGGAGAAGTACATGGGGGTGTGCAGATGTGGGTCCAGTAGAATCACCACGATCATCCTGAGGTTCCCAGTCACAGTGATAAGGTGCAGGAACACTGCAAAGAGGGGAAGCTGCAGTTCTGGGGTGCTGGTGAGTCCCAGCAGGATGAACGCACTCACCTCTGTGGTGTTCTCCACGGGTGAGGCTTGAGAGTTAAAATGTACTCTTAAGCAAAGAAGGTGAAGCACATTGTTGAACAAAAGTCAACTGCACAAAAATTTAAATGTACAAGCATTCTTTTACAACAGAAGTGTTTTCAATGCTCTTCCTACCTAAAGTGTGCAGGACAACGTGGATTACTTATTTCTATAGCAACAGACTTATGAAGAAGCATTGTCTTCCTGGGTTGCCTTCCTAATCTCTCAGTTCTGTGTATGTGTAAAATAAGTGGCAGAAAAGGCAAATAAACTGTTCAAGGGCACATGCTGAGAATAAGCCAATCACTCACTGAAGATGCCTTGAATCTAACAGCTTACATTTCTAAAGTTCTCCTGCATAAGGTTTGATCTTAAAGGCCAGATTCAAGCTTTAGAACCAACCAGCGTATTTTCCAACATACATACTCTTAACAAGTCTGAATTGATGTATTCATTTAGAAGAATTTTAAACTCATTCATAGAAAACTAACAATTATTACATTTCCATAGAGTGGCATGGTGTTTTGATTCATGTGCAGTGTATACACTGTGTAATATTTATTTCATGTTAATCATATTTATCTCCTCCTTTATCATTTCCTTATAGTGACTCTGTTTTAATTTTACTAAATTTACGTTTAATCTCGGTCTCCATTGTATCAAGCCTATGCGTGGAGTTGCACTTCACAGCAATTCACAGCTCAGTGTACAGAAGGTGCATTGCAGGCTATGCATAGCAAATGCGTAGTATAACAATACAGGCTTGTACAGTCAACAAAATCTATTCTGAAGAAAAGGAATAGCACCACATATAAAATCTAGGGCTCTGGGAGAAGGTACAGTCATATTTACATACAAGCTGCATCTTTCGATACCTGAGATATGTTCACTGTAAGTTGAGTTTTCTGAGCCTCATTTTATCCACTAATAAAATGAATGTGCTGTTAGGAGAGGTCAAGGGATTATTGTGAGAGTTAGTGTGATAATGAGTGAAAACAGCTTAGTGTGGGTTTAACCAGTGTTAATGAGTGTAAGCTCTAATATTATTGGTATGAAATGGCATTTTCTTTTTTTTTGTTTTTCTCCGGTACCGGGAACCGAACTCACGACCTTGCGCTTGCCAGGCAGGCGCTTTTGCCACTGAGCTAAATCCCCAGCCCTGAAATGGCATTTTCTATGCTGGCTCAGGAAAGGTAGTAACGCCGAGGTAGGTGGGATTTTTTGTCCTGTAGCCCTGGTCTTTGATTTACTTTTTCTTATTCACTGTGCTCACTAATACCTTTTATTTCCCCCAGTACTTCCTCACTCTGCTGCTTCTCCCATGTGAGTGGTTGTGGTGACCTTTCTGCACGACAGCTGAGGAAGTTGAGAACCTCCTTTGCTTTACATCATACTTGAGACCCACATTTTGGCTTGTCTTGAAAGACCTTCCCCTTCTCAGAATCTTTCTCACTGCCTTTGCTTTCATTACTAAATGGAATCTCAGATACAAATGCAAATTTGGGGTCTGAGGGAGCTGACGCTAATTGTTCATGGGCCGGCATAATGTTTTAGTTTTTAAAATCTCTATTTTCGGGTTTGAGAACAATAGACATTCTTTCATAGCCACTATTTACTGCCTTCCTCTTGGCCCCTAATACGTTATTTCCATGTCTGCATCTTAAATTGCTTGTTTTTGTCAATACCTTATTTATAGCACTATCTAAGCCATAATTGCATTATATGTAGCTTATATAATACATATATATCTTATATAATGCATATATATGCATTTTCTCCCCATGATCATTAATTTATTCACTGGGGTTTTCTCCATAAAAGCTCATTATCTCAAAATATCTAACCTGATTACATTTGCACAGGTCCTTACCATGTGAGGTGACATAGTCATAAGTTCCAGAGGGTAAAATATGAATTAATTTACAGGCATTATTTGGGCTACCACAGTGTGTTTGAAAATAAAATGCAGTCATTCAATTATCACAGCATTAGCTATTGTTAAAGCTGAGGAATCTTTGTAACTTATGCAGCCAGTTTCCTAATTGCATGTCTTTAAAAGAGCTGCAGAAAGGGGTGTAAACTTGTCCTGGCTCATGTACCTGGAGTAGTTCCATCTCCCAAGGCAGAGCTTCTCATCTTAGTACCAGCTGAAACACTGCTCAAATGCCATTTGTTTTCATAGGTGCATGGATACTAGATAGATATAAGTCGTGGGAGAGGAAATAGAGTGTATGTGCACACACATATGTGAATATAATCTCATTTGTTAAAGAAAGGGAATATTTAAGTTTACAGCTTCTCTAAAATTCCATACCTACTATAAGGTATTAAAGATACAAATCCATACATAAATGAGCGCCGAATGTGCCTTTTATGGCCACATGTCAGATTTTCTGTATGAACAAGAAAGGGTGAGATTTGAGGAATTAAAGTGAAATGGAATATAGCTATTGTTAGTTAAATGATGAACTTTCTGATGACTAACAGTGTGTCCTTTCTCCCTGTTTTGGTGAATGCCCCCTTTGATGGACAACACATTTATACAGGATGAATTTACCACTTGCTCAGTGAACTTATAATCTATCACAGGTTTTGTTCTTCTTGTTAGGGAAAGTGGCACACCATTTTGTAAATATTACTGCACTATATCAAGAACAAAATATTTTCACACTTGAGGGCTACACCCAAGAAAGGTTTTGAGGGAAAGGTTTTAGCCACATCTAGGTTGAAACACTCACAGAACATGTAGCTTCTCTAGTTGCTTCAGTATTAATTACATTTTTATTACAAAGGTTTATTGAACATAGATGCTTACCTTGCAGCTTGAAGAGAAGGGAAAGGGATTCTTGAACTGTGTGTCCAGAATCAAAAATTCATCTCTGGAAGAATGAATAAATAATATTCGAGAAATTCTCTCAAGAAGTAGTCAGAAAGACCCAATGTTCCTGATGCATAAGAAGAAATATCGTAAACATGGAGTTAGGAAATGCATCTTTAAGCCTTGTGTCTATCCTGAATTTAACTGTGTACTCACAAGAGTTATTTTATCTTCTGCTGAGCCCAGTTTCCTTATTTGCCATTTAGAAATAATAAAATAGCCCACATGTCCCCCAGAGACGAGTGGTGTCTCTGACCCAGACATCACACGCACTAAGCTCAAATCCATCAATTATAGATAGGTGAAAGAGCTGTAGGGTGGTTTCTGGAACATCGTCCAGAGCCTCCCAAGCTGACACGCAAAGGCAGGAGTCCCCACTGGGAATCAAGGACCAAGTTTATCACCAAGGACCAATTTTACATATCAATTTTGCGCAGACTGCTGTGAGGTCAGGGTTGAAGTTGGAGAGGGTTTCTGGATAATTCAAGTTCTTTACATGTCTTGTGCACTTTATTTCTACCATTATCACATTGTAATATATACATTATATTACTTTTGTTGCACTGTAATTATAATGAAATAATTATACCTCACCCAAAGCAGAATTCAGAACTGAGCTTGTTTCCCTGCAGTGGGTGGTCCCACGTGAGGATGATGGGAGAGAGTTCACAGTAGGGTTCGCACAGCAATGAGACTCTCATGCCGCACCTGCTCTGACAGGAGGGGGAGATCTGGGGGTAAGAAGAGAGCAATGGGGGGCTATTGCTGTGCAGACTGGTTCCTAACAGGGACATCCTCGGGAAAATTCCTTCACTATGAAAGCTACCTCTTAAGAGTTGTGTAGACAATTTACCAGCCGGATGCAAATACCAACGATAAGTAAAGAAGTATGAGAAAACAAGGAGACACAACACAACCCAGGCCACATAATAATTCTTTAGCAACAGTCCTCAAAGAAAATGATATTGATGAAATATTCGATAAAGAATTCAAAGGAATAATTCCAAGGAAACTCCATGAGATAAGGCAATAGAGATCGACAATGTAATGAAATTAGGAAAACAATATAGGTAATGAATCAGCAAAGCAATAGAGACAGTTGAGGGTTGGGTGTTGTTTGGCCACCTGAGGTCATGCAGAAGTTTAATCCCCCAAATCATTTGTGAGTGAATTTTAGGGAGTGGAAACCTAATCTGAGGATGGTGTTTGGAGGTGAGTTCTTTGGGAACTGATTAGAATTAGATGAGGGCATTAGAATGTAACTCACAGTTGGAACTTGATGGTGACAGGATGGAGAAAGACCACACAGATGGACACGATGCTCTCTTTCCTTGCTGTGCAATGCTCTTTGCTCCCTCTGTACTGTGTTATCGGGAAGCTAGCACCACATGAGAGCCCTCGACCTCAAGCATACAGACCTATGAGCCAAAATGAACCTCTTTCTTCATAATGTAGCCTGCCTCTAACATTGCATTACAGTAACAAAGTGTGGCAAATACAAGAGCTTCAAAACAAACTAGATCACGTGGGGGAAAGAATTTTTCAACTGGAAGAGAGATCTTTTGGAGCAGCCATGTGAAATAGGAGAAGAAAATAATGGTAATGATAACATTGGCTCCAGAAGGGAGAAAGGAATAACAAAAGCATCTAACTGAATAATAACTAAAACTTCCCAAATGGTGAGAAAGACGTGAATGTCTAGGCACATGAGATCTAAGGGGCATTAAATAGAAGTGGCTAAAGCAGATCCTCACCATGATATAGTAAAGTCAAACTATCAAAAGTCCAAGAGCAACAGAGAATTCTAAAAATAGCAAAGGAAAAACATCAAGTCACACTTAAAGGAAACCCAACAGACTAAAAGTAGATTCCTCTGCGGAAATCTTCAGGCAAGGAGAAACAGAATGACATATTCAAAACTCTAAAAGAAAAAGAAGAACTGCCCATCAAGAATACTGTAGCTATTATGCTGTTTTCAGGAATAAAGAAGAAATAAGGACTTGCCAAGACAAGCAAAACCGGGGAATTCAATACCACTAAATTGACATTACACAAGATCCTTAAGGAAGTCTTATATCTGTACAAGAGAGGGATAAGCATCATAAAAGTATGTAAAGTTTTAAAACTCACTAGGAGAGCAGATACATAAAAGAGGAAATGAAGAGAATAAAACTGTATCAGTATAGAAAACTACTAAAGAATGGGAATAAGATTGCAGCTGAGTAAGGTCGTCCAGTGATTCTCTACAGAAAAACGGGTTCAAGTAACTACGAATGCACTATACTAATTTCACAAGAGCTGAGGAAGCCAGATGGGAGAACACAGTGCCTGGTTTCAGTATAACAGACACACTACAGAAGCCAGAAAAGGGAACACTGGTTGCATAATCCCGTCCCCTGCTCCAGCCAGTGCAGTGTGTAGAGAAACTCCTCCAACTCAGAGGAGAAAAAAAGAAATTAAGTTCAGACTTTAGACTTCAAACACAATACCAGGTCCAGCACGGTGAAACCCAAGGCTGGCAGAATCCCACAGCCTATGGCCCGACATGTGTATTGGGACTGAGCCTCAGGACCCTATCTAGCTAGCTGTCCAACGGAGTGTTTCCACCACTCTTCCCCGACCTCAGGTGGCAGGCAAGGAGCAAGACCTCACGTGCTTAGAGGGTAAGGGAAGGAAGTCAGCACGGGACTTTGCCTTGGAAATCAGTGCCAGGATCACCACAGTGAGGGTTAGCACCAGACAGTAAATGAACACACCTCTAGACCTGCGCTAGTACCAGGAAGAGACACGTGCCCCGCTAGGAAAGTCTCACATTTTGGCTGCATCTGTGGCTGTGAGACCGAGGTGAAGCCAGCATGGTGTCAGCCTACGTGGCAAAAGGACTCTTCCAAACTTAAGAAGCATAGCAAAGGGGAAGACTCTGTCTCCAGGCTGGTAGGACAGTAAGTTGAGCACAGGGCTGTCTTGAAACTTGGCGTTAAGCTGGCAAAACCTAAAATGCTACAGTTCTAATGTCTATTTCCTAGCACTGCCCGCACTCAAATAGTTTTTGGCTCCAACCCAATGCCAGGCGGAGATCTGTAAACCCAAGCAATTGAATTTCTATTTGAGCCAGCACCACATATAACTGCGTGCAGTAGTCTCAGGCCATGAATGCACATCAGCATCTTAATATTACTTCTGTGCTGCATTGGTTTTAAGGGGCTCTGGACTCTGGGGATAAGGTCATGTTTTAGAAGACCAATACTAAAGCCAGCAGACTGCCCACTCTATTTCTCCTCAACCTATACAGTAAAACATGGAGAGAGCAATTGCATAATTGTCTGCTGCAGAATGAAAAGGGAAGTGAGTATAAAGTCCTTGCAGAGGTGTTAGTTTATTTCCTTCATGATGAGGTCTAGAGCTGAGCTTAGTCCTGCGATTCTTGAACACAAGCCTGTGACTTCAGATGAGGCACCCAGGCCTCAGTAGGGGTTTCCAAAGATGGACTAACAGTGTTAGGCAGTCCCACAGTTCACATAAAAAAACACCAACTGCTGATTTGTAATACACATGGACTTGGGGTACCCTCTAGTGCTGAAACAGTGACAATACACTAAAAATGGATTCAAAACAAAACTGGAGTTTAATCATCTAGTGCTGAAATAGTGGAAATAATTTTACGCTCAGAGAAAAAAGATCATGCTGCTTAGAAGTTCCAGAAGGACAGGCATCAACAAAACAAGATTATGAAGACTGTAATTGGCAATATATAATCATCTAATGTGCAGAAAACATTACTTGACAACAAGCATCAGGAACCTGTAGGAAATCACAGCCTCACCTGACTGACAAAACAAGGTGCAAAAACCAAAGCACCTAGCAACAGAAATCTTCAAACTCTTAAGTAACATCTGTAAGTTCTCAAAATAACTGAAGGGCATAAAAACTTCTCCAATCAGTATTAGCACAAACCTTCCTTTTAATGATCTAAGAAACACTAATTGTGTAACTGACTTGCATTTTTTCCCTTTTCCCTACTTGATAACAACATGTCATGTATTAGCTATTATTCTATTATTTTGCTACAAAATTTTCTTTTATCTTTTTTTGATAAAATAAAAAACAACTGATGGAAAGTCCACAAACTTTAAGAAAATACACAGAAATAATTCAATACTCTAAGAGAGAAACACAGCTAAGAATTTGAAGTAATTTTTAAAAAGACTGAAAAGTACAGTAATCAAAATAAAAAATTTGCAGTGTGAAGTATAATCTGTTTTGGGTTTCTTTGTGCTCCTGTTTTAAAAAAGATTTGCAATGATTTCTATTTAACATTACAGGCAGTAAAAGTGAAAACCACAGTCAAATCCTAAGATATTCAGTTACTCATGTACATACTATATTTCAGCACATAATGCTTTCTATTTTCTACAAACAGGATTGCAGAAAGGTATCATTCCAGGACTTCAATCACAGTGGGCCTTGAAATGAAACTGAGTAGAAGGAAAACGCCAGAGAGGTCTGTGTCTAGATGTCCTTCTGTGCGGGAAAAAGTGGTCCAGAGGTCTGGTTGTCGGCCGTGGCAGAGGAGCGAGCCTGAGCACACTCGGACTCACCGAGTGAGTCACCCTGCCTAGGCTGTCCCGCTCTGACCTCTTACTTCCGCACAGCCCCCGGCCAAAAGTACTGCCTCCAAACCACGCCCCTAGCCCGCCTCCATTGCCACGCCTCTAGCCAGCTCAATAAAATGCCTGGTACTTCCGCAATAAACCGGATCTGTGCCATCAGCCTGGTCTCCGGTGTGTTCTTTGCACCGTGTCGCCGCTTACCACGGGCCCAGGTCGCTCGACCCAAGGAGGTTCAACCTCAATTCTGCACCAGTAAAATCAAGATCCTAGTGATTACTTCACCTTCAAAACAGTTTTTGTGAAGGCACTCTTGACCTCCTTGTTCTTCAGGCTGCAGACCACAGGGTTCAGCATGGGGATGGCCATGGTGTAGAACACAGATGAGATTTTCTCTCTGTCCATGGCATGGCTGGAGCTGGGCTGCAGGTACATGAAGATGATGGTCCCGTAGAAGATGGAGACTGTGGTGAGGTGGGAGGCACAGGTGGACAGAGCCTTCTGGTATCCCTCACCTGAGTGCATCCTTAGAATGGAGACAAAAATAAATGCACAGGATATCAAGATAATGAGGAAAGCAAAAAAGATATCGAAGCTCACAACATAAATGAGAAGCAGCTCACTAACATGTTTATCAGAGTAAGAAAGAACCATGACTTCTGGAACATCACAGAAGAAGGGATCGACCACATTGTTGTTACAGGAGAGACTAAGTGTGTCCCCGACCTGGATGGAGGCATTCACAAAGCCACAGATATAAGAGGCTATGATCATCCATGCACACGCTTTTGTGATCATGGTGGTGTAGTGTAACGCACTGCTGCATAGCGGTCATAGACCATGGAGGTCAAGAGGTAACTTTCCACAGTAGTGAAGGGTGCAGAAAGGAACATCTGAGCAGCACAAGCATTGTGGGAGATGACCTTGCTTCCTGTGAGTAGCCCAGCCATGACTGGGGGAGTGATGGTGGAAGAGTATCCAAAGTCCACCAGAGACAGGTTACTGAGGAAAAAGTACATGGGGATGTGCAGACGAGAATCTAAAAGAATCAAAACAACCATCCCCAGGTTTCCAAACACATTGATAAGGTAGAT